AGATTGTTCATGTTCCATGTTCTTGGTCCAAAGTTCACTGTTTCCTTAGCTCAAATTTCCTATAATCCAACTTGCATTTTACTGTTATTCTTATAGGTTGTTCTTAGTTCAAAGTTTAAATTAAAATCTCCTAAAACTTCTAGAAAAATAGTTTAAACTCCCAAACTATCCTAAACTTGTTCAAAATAGGTTTATAGGCTCAACCAGCCCCAAATTTAAAGCTGGACATTTCCTCTCAAATCAAAGTAGGTGTATTTTATAGAGCAAGATAGAGCACTATAGGATAATCTTCACAAATATTCGTAAAAACTTTGTTTCACAAGATAGAAACTAAGCCTGAGGAAACACACCGGCATTCGATTCTTAAAACTGAAATTCCAACCATTTATCTTCCAAGATCTTCATTCAATTTACCAAGCTATTAACCAAATCCAATATGCAATCACCTAAACTCTGAAATGAAAACATGCAGCTTCAAGAATCTAGCAAAACTTTCTAAAACCTCTGTTTTAAAACAAGAATTGCAGCTAGACTTCCAATCGAGTAACTAACAATAGTCTCACAACCACACAATTCTTATATAGCCACTCTAGCCCTATTAATGAATTTTCACGTAGGAAAACTAGCATGCAATATTAAACAAAGACCATGTCGCATCCCTTTTTTTTTTTGAAAAATAAAATTTAGTGTTGAAAGAGTAAGTTTTTTATTTTAGAAAAAGAGAATAAAGAAAAAAGAAGGGCCTAAAATGGGACTTAGAAAATGCGACGATTTGGGCCCAATTTTAGTCTAAAAAGGGTTTTTTTTAAAAAAAAATAGGAGTCGCCACTTGGTATCGGATTTAGATGTACCAAGTCACCTAAAATATGTTTTTAAATAAGTAAATAAAATAAAATCCCTTTTAGACGACTCCAAGTCTTTGAAAAATAAGAGAAGAGGGTTTGGGAGTCACAGTTGAAAAAAGGTAAGGCAAATGTTTGATAGAATCAAACCTAAGACACCCTTTCAACCTAACCAAGGCCAATTGCGAGATTTAGTTGAAAATTTTCCTAATCTAACTTATAAAACTTATCACATTAGAATGCTTCTATATAGATGCGAATCTAGACCTAGGGAGATATTAAGAGGGTCGGAATGTCCTTTCAAAGTTAATTGGTGCAAATCACATTAATTGTGATGTTCAAACATAATTCTTAGAAGAGGTCATGAATATGCAAAAGATGAGACTCGAAGAAAAGAAAAAATTATAATATATAAATATACATGACCTAAGAGGGGGATGCAACATAACGGGTATGGAAGACTAAGATTTGTAACTCAATTTTCCTTTTTATAAAAGGAATACGATCGTGCTAAAGTTAAGAAGCCATACTCATTTATTTCTTATATTTGAAGGGTGACTCTCCTAACCTAGTTAAGCAAATGAACTAGCCTACTTTCTAATTTCCTAAATGGAATGCAAGTTTAAATGTCATGTTTAGCGCACATAGGGATGAGGGAGATAATATATAGAGGAAACATCATGCAAGGTGGGAAAAGGACTCTAAAATAAAAATATGCATGAAATGCAATAAATGTCATACAAACATTTGATTCTAATGCATAGGCAGCTCTAAGGGTCTAGCATTGGACTAAGTCATTTTTATAAGTTCTTACTAGTGTTGGACTAGTGAGAAAATGGGTTGAAAAATCACAACTAGCGTTGGACTAGTGTGATGACGTCATGCATTTATTATAAATAAATAAATCATATAATATATAATTAAAGCAAGTAAACACATAAAACACATAGAACACGTAACACATAAGTATAATATCTAGATGCAAAGATTCTAAAGAAAACGAATTAGCACATAAGCACACAAGCATGTACCCACACAAGCAAATAAACACACATAAAGACCTAACTATTACATGTGAGACCCTAATTACAATCAAGGGGGGTTTTTAAAAATAATAATCTAACTATTACATTTATCTAATTAATTATATTTTTTGGCAAAAATAAAACCTATCTATTACATAACCTAGCTAAATACATTTCGTGGCATCTATCTATTACAATTTAGTATTTAAATGCTATCCAAATAATCATCAAAATCAAATATAATAAATGAAATTTTTTAAATGAATAAAATGAGTAAATACAAGAAAAAGCACTCAAAACATGCAATCACACATAAAAAACACATAGGAGAATATAAAAGGATTTAAAATGATAATAGAAGGTAACTCTCTTGAAGTAGTGGTTAAATGAGGTGGAATTTGTCCTATTTTTACTTCAAAATCAACAAAATAGTCAAGGCACTAATTTAATTGAAAATTAAAAAGAAAAATGAAACATATAGCAAATTCACTTTATTATTATAAAGAAATATAAATAAACATACAACCCCTAAAATTTACTAATTAAATGCATTTAAAAGAAGCTTTATTAACAATTAAAAGAGATAAATCAATTATACTTAAGAAATCAAAGCTATTAGGGACCCAATTGCAAAAAAATAAAAAAATTTTGGGCTAAATTATAATTATTATAAAGATTAGGGGTCAAAATTAAAGAAAAATAAAGTTTAGAGACCAAATTACAATTAAATTAGGAACCTAATTGAAAGAAATCCAAAATTGTTAAGGCCACAATGAAATTAATTAAAAGAATAGGGATCAGATTGCAATTTTTGTATCTGGTTTACAATATAAAGGCCAGCGGGCCATCTTTATTTATCTTTACTTCGGCCCAGTGAAAGACCCGACCAAATAAAATGGGCTAGTCCTTTCTCAAGGAAAATCCAACCAAAAATGTTTGGGCTTTAACCCCAAAACCCATATCATAACCCAAAGAAATAAACCAAATCCTTTACCAAAACCCAATCAAAATAACCCTTAACCCAAATCTTAACTTCTTTTACTAAACCAACAAAACATTAAGTCTACCAAAATTATTAAGCCTTAATTATGCCCTATAATCCAGAAATAATTCACTCAAAAACATGTATAAACTATACAAAAGAGGATCAAAACTTGAAGAGGGTAGATTTGATTTATTTCTTCCAATTCTGGGCCATAGTATAATTATGTAAAAATTGAGGGTCAATTTGCAATTTTCAAAACTTTCATGCAAGAACCAACGAAGCATCTGCAACTTTGCAGTTCATTCATCAAACGCAGCAAAAGAAAACCAAACGAACACCAAAATTTAGGGTCAAAACAACAAGATTATGTAACTCCAATATCAACCAAATCCCATCACCCAAATACCGCATTAAATCACCAGATAACATAGTAAAAACTTGAGTTAATGGCTTGCAAAAGGAACAGCAGAAGAAGGAAAAGAACAAGAACCATTGCAGCAAAATTTTATGTATCTAGTGAGGATCTGAGCATATATGAAAAGGAAAAGGATGAATGAATTTACCTTTTAACACTTTGGAGAGCCAAAATAATGTGGGAAGTCACAAGCAAACGAATCCAGATGTTGGAAGACGAAAACCCAGCTTTGTTACAGTAAGCTCAAGAATTCTGACTGCAGCGAGTTTGAGGCCGAATACGACGGACTTCCAGTCATTTTTTCCACAAGGTTTCTAAACAAAAGTTGTTTCTAGATGAACGTAGATAGCGCAAAAATGAAAGGAATGCCTAAAGGACTAGAATCGATATCGGAATTCGATCGGAAAAAGGGCTGAACACTCAACCCTGGCTCCAGAAATTTTCAGGAAATTTTCTGCTCCTTTTTCTCTCTCCCGTTCTCCCCTCTCACCTCTTCCTAATGGCTGCGTTTTCAAGCCTTTGTCTTGCTTTTATATCTAATAGAGTGGCCAAAAACCTACTCTCAAGGGTGTGGATGAAACCCTTATTTTGCTGGTGGCTCCTTGTACTAGCAATGTATTGGGGGGAAACAAAGGAAAAATGCCAACCAAAATTGCTCCAAATGCCAGCTACAACTCTGCACTACATCTGGTTTCGGTACCAACTTATGAAGAAGAAGACGTGCGCGTGGAGATTTTTTTTTTTTTTTTTACAAAAATCTGATGAATCTCTTTTTCCTTTTCTTTTCTTCTGTCTTTCCTTTTCTTTTCTTTCTAATTTCCTTCTAATTTTTCTAAGAATGAATTGAAATGATTTCCTTTAAAAAAAGTAAAGAATAAAAATAAAATAAAATGAGTAAATGAAATAAAACTAAAAATAAATAATATAAAATTTTTGGTGTCTACAGACTATACTGAACAGAATTTCCTAACTAATCTCTTGGAAATTTAAGATAAAAGGTTGCTAAATCAAACTTTCTTTCCTCTCTGCCAAAGCTGGAACTTCCAGCAAGAAACTAGCTTGAAAATTCAAATTTTCATCATAAAACTCACATGTATCAGCCTAGAAATGTTATACAGGGCCTAAAACATGAATTCCAGTTACAATCTATGTGAGGACTTGAAAAATTCATTTATATTTTCTTAAAATTCCCTTTTATTTTGAATAAGTTAATTTATAATTTCTTTACTACTAGTTTACTCCCTTAATATTTGTAATAAATAATAGAGCTGAGAGTTTTACTTTTACTTCTATCTTTAGAGTAAATTAGGGTTTTGGTGCATTTGGGTAGTGTGATCAATCGGTGAAGTGTGTGTGCTAAATTTGATGGATAAAAGCGGGTATTCAGTAAGGGGAAGTATGTGATTAAAAGTGTTAAGAGTAAGTTAGTAAATCATAAGTTAAAACAAAAGTACAAGAGAGTTAAGGAAATACGCGTGAATCGACTCACGCCGTTTGTTACCGGTTGAAGGCACCACTTGACCAATACTTTGTTTCCCTAATCTTCTTATTTTCCTATCATTTATCCTTCCCTAATTTAACCCTAAAGCTGGCCGAAATTCTTGACCAAGAGGAGGAAGAAAAGGAAAAAGAAAAGGGGGAACACTTGGCTTTGACAAGTGTCAACCATCCAAGCCACCTTTGACCAAGCTTTCTTTGTTACTTATTGTTTATTTCCACCAAACCTCACCAGATTTTTCCTGCACTAGAGGGCCGAGAGAGAGGAGAGAAAAAGGGAGAAAAGCTGTCTTCATTTTCACCTTGATTCCTAGCAAAAAAATTGTGGGAAAACAACCTCCAATCCAAAGCTAAGCCATAGGAAGTTGCTACAAGGAAGAAAGGTGGGATGGAGTGGAGTTATTTTGGGAGAAAGCAAGCTGTCTTTTGCTGCTCAGCTTGAGGATTTAAGGTATTCTTGGCTGAAAGTTATTTTATCCCTTTAATCTTTCAATCGGTTGGAGTTTTGGCTTGATTCTTGTAGGATATGTGGCTGGTTGTGTAGTTTTAGTATGTGGGCTATTATGTCCAGATTTTAGTGATCATTTCCAGCTTTTATTGAGTATTTCCAGCTTTCATATAGTGTTGTAAACCTATCATGATGATTGTGCCAGCTAATGTGTGTGAATTTGGCCTTATTTGAGTGGTTTCTAGCTTTGTTAGTGATTTTCCAGCTTGATTTAGGAATTGGGCAGATTAGGGTTTTGATTTTTTGGCTTGGATGTTATGATGATTATGTGCTGGATATACACCTAAATATGATGGTTATAAGGTCTAAGATAAGAGCTCTTTGTTTCCTATAATTATGTGTTTGAGTTGGGGCTGTTTTGTGGTGAAATTGTTGCCATGGAATTGGCAAAAATGGGTAAAACACAGGGGAGGTGCTGTCCATTTGGTTCCGTGTAGTTTGAGTGAGCGAAAGTGCAATTAGGGCTGTGATTTTTGGATGGTCTAGACCTAGGGTACTTACGGGTACTTAGGGCCACTCTAGGGATATCGCACAAACTGAAATTTTCGCCAAGTTACGTGTTTCAAAGGAGGAAGTCACAGCCTCTTCAAACTGATTTTTGAGTTGTATACGTGGTTTTAACCTTAAACATTTTAATTGTTTTCTTCCTCCAAGAGCATAAGTTCATTTACTTGATTTTCTTTTAACATTACTAAGCAAAGATAGTGCATCTTGAAAACCTTATTTACTTGCATTTTGCCATTTTAATTGATCACAGACCTTGCGAGTGGACAAGGGTCCGAACCTGTGCTTGATTTTGGCAAGCCGTGAACTATTGGTGAGTGTTTCCAAGTGCATGACTGAACTTGATACTTGAATGAAATGCTTTGTTAATGTGATTGGATAGTACTTGACTTGTTTGATCGGACAAGGGTGTACTTTATCGCACTTGCCCTAATGTGACTTATTACTATGTATTGGTTACAATTGGATTGATATATATGTATATGATTGGAACACTGCCTGGAATTTCAAAACCCTGTTGGCTAGTTAATCGAGTCAAGCCGGCATGGGTCTGATCGATTAGATAACGAACCCTGGGTCTACTGTTTTGTCGAGTGGAGTGTTATCTCCTCGACTAATTGGTATGCTCGAGTATTACCACCATTGTTTATATTGGAGTTCGAGCCCGGTGGGAGGTTGATTGGTGGATGGAGATTGGAGTTAAGTGGGGCTCTACTAGACTGGTTTCACTACTTTGAAAGTTGACGGAGTGTCAACTACTTCCTGGCAAGCTAGGGTTGAGTTAGCTCATAAGAGCGACTGTATCCTTATACTTGGAAACGTTGTATTTTTACTCGATTTGCTACTTGAAATGTTATTGCTCACTTTTATGAACTTTTATGCTCACTACTTTGATATTTCAAGTTTTTATATAATGGTCAACTTGCTACTTGGTTTTGCATGATGTTTGGAATCTCACTGAGTTTTGACTCACCTTATTAGTTTCGTTTTCCTTATAAGGGGTGCGAGCATAGACGTGAGGCTGGGACAGGCTGGTGTCGTTTAGTTTTTGACTTTTGTAATTGTACTCGTGCTAGTGCTCGACTAGGGTCAGAAGTTCAACTGGCACTTGAATCTTTTGTTATACTTGGGAATGTATGAATATTTGAGACAGACATGAGTATAAATGTACATTCTAAGTTTGGGAACTGTTATTTCATTTCCTTTTGACGTTATAATTTGTTTCTTGAAGTAGTGAGTGAGAGTGAGTCCTGACAAGAGTTGGGCAGGCGATCCGCTAAACCCTGGGGTACGCCCTAGGGAAGGTGGGATCGTCACAATCTACCAAAGTTTTCAAAGAACAAGACCAAAGTTGCAGCATTTCTTCCTCCAGATTTGCTGTCTTGGAATTCTAGCTTTGGTGTTGCTTTAAAAGTTCTTCTTTTCTTGCTTTTAACACTCCAAATCTCATGTACACAATCAGATTAAGACCACGGATGTTGCTAAAAATAAATCTTAACTAGGTTCAACCAAAACCTCTTAACAAACCCGTAACAAGAACTCCAGCCAACAGTTCATCATAGTCTCATCTTAATAGGCCTTATTTGACAGTGTAAACGGCATGCATGTCAAGATATGTGGCCAAAACATGTATATAAGACATGCAACAGAAGACACAACTGGAAAATTGCAGATTAGCTCATCAAGTATCACATAAAAGCTTCAAACAAACATTTTCATCTTTGACAACCTTTGTTTTCCAGAAAGTGTTCTTTTTACTTGGTTCTAATTCAGTCTCAAAGACTACTAGCTAAATGCAGAAGAAATGGAAGAGGAAGACAATAGTTTACCTCTGGTTCTTACGGCTCTAAGCTAGGAAAATAAAATTCTGATTTCTCTCTCCAATTCTTAGCTCGATAGACTACATTCCTTCTTGCTTTGTGGCTAGTTCTCACGGTTGAAGGAGGCCAGAAATGAGTTCCTGGTTTTTTTTTTTTTTGTGGTATTTCTCTCCTTTTCTCCTTAATGTCTCTTGGGTAGCTAAACTAAGGAAAAGAACTACAGCCAGCTCTACTTATTACCTCTTGACCGACTAGAACTACACTTGCATGTTAGTTGGCCAGCTAATGAGGACAAGTGTCCACCACATTGCATGTTGTCTTGTTTGTTGTTTGTTTTTTTTTAACAACAATAAATTCTAACTAATACTAATGTTTAATAGTGTAAGTGATACAATTTCCTAAGGTATTACGGTTTATTTGTTAATAAATAGATGTAATTAAATATGTCAATCAAGAATAAAAGAAAATGGAACATGCATCAAATTTTAAATAAGATATGAAAATTTTCGAGCCCTCACAGTTATTGTTTAATTCAAATGCATTTCCATTTTAATTTTATTTTCTATTATCATTTCCTTGTAGAAATCCACTTCAAACAAAAGAATTACTTTCCTTGGAATCTTTTTCCATTTCCCTTGCACTTTCCTTTGTTTGCCAAACATGAGAAAGTATTAGGATTTTTTGAGGAATTCAATTTGCATTTCCTCAGTTTCCTTTCCTTACTCATTTCCTGAACCAAACAGGACCTAAAGATATTGGACTAGTAAGTTGTCATCAAAGAAAAATAACTTTTAGAGATGGAAAGTAGCATGCTGCAATGTCCTCAAATTTTATTTTTACAATCAACGGCTAGATCAGAGGTTTGAAGGATGCTTATTTTATATTCTGGTATTCAACTTCTACAATATCAGAATATATTCTCCAATCTGGTATTCTGGTATCCTACTTATTAAAGTCAAACTGTCAAAATATAAAGGCTTTACATTGACTTACCTTATGGATTATTCCAAACCGGGAAAAAAAAAAGAAAAGGAAAAAGATTGGAGCCCGACCACTTTCCATTCTCAAATGGTAACTCAAACAAGTAAACAGAAAATACTTGTTGCAATGGAGAAAGTCACCAATTCTTGGACTGCACAGTTCACATGCTACAAATTGCACTTTCGTGTATTGAACATGTTCTTGGGCTTCTTCGGGCTGTTGCTTTCCATTGACCGTGTTAGGACAACCTAAAATGGCTAAGTTACAAAGTATCAAACCCCAAATTCAAACAATCACTAGACGAAAATGAAATAAATATACACTTCAAGCCTTGTTCTGGGCCTGATGGCAAATGGCAAGGAAGTACTTATCCCCAAGTTCAATAAAGTGGTTTTTCTTTAACGAAAAGGTTTAAAGGATACATCAAAACATACAAGGGAAAAGAAAAAAAGGATCAGCTTGAAAGTCCAAGTGCAAAATTACACAATCATTTTATTAATATCCCTACTAAACTGAATCAAGTCTTGAAAACTGTGGAGTGTTATCCGACGGTTAAGTACTTGAGTATCTGTTGGGAAAATACATATACGAAATTTTACTATGCAGGTTCAGGCCGTGTAATTTGCTACTTACTAGGTGCATTTAGTGGTTTTACTAGGTGACACGTGGAGGTCATGAGAAGAAAAAAGTTTAACCTAGATTAAAAAAGGAATAATTTCAAAAATCTCCTCTGATTGTTGGGGTCCATTGCTTACATTATCAGGGTTGAAATTACTGGCATTGTCTTAAGACATTTTGGATTAGCTATTTTTGAAAAATTTTGCTGTAGCAGAGTTTTTAGATTATATTTTGGGATATTTTCAGAAAATATTTTGGGATATTTAAGAGTAGAAGTGTTTCTAGAATATATTTTGAGATATTTTTAAAAATTTTTAAAAAATTTAAACTAATTTTTAGATTACCTTTTAGAGTACTTTTTAAAAAATTTTATTGTATTTAAAAAACTAGTTTTTGAAAAACAGTCCCATCCAAACAGATTATTATAAATGTTTATTTGGGAAAAAGAAACTATGAGAAATCCTATTGGCATTTGATGGTTGAATGTCTTTTCTTTTGGTTTTTTCTCCCCTTTTCTTGGGAATTTTCTCAAGTTGTTGGTTTTCAATGGTTATGACCCAACCAAAAAGGAGGAAGCTATTGTGGGCACTTTGCCTTATGAGAGATCCTTTTCTTTTCCAAGTACACACGGTAATATGCACTATAGTGATTTCTATTAAGTTTTTTTTTCTTATTATCGAGTAAACCACTAGCAATTAGGGGGTATGAAAGGTAAAGATACTAATGCTATTAGCTTAGGCTCTATTTGGATTAGTTATTTTTTGGATTGTTTTTAAAATATTTTATGATAGTAGTGTATATAAAAAACTTTTAATGTAAATGTTTTTGGTAATGTTTTTGAAATATATTTTGAGATATTTTTAAAATTTAAAAACTTTTTAGTGTATTTTTTAAAAAGGGTAAAAAATAAAAAAGCCCCCTGTGGTAAACCTAATACACAGAAAAGCCCCCTGTGGTTTCAAAATATACAACACGACTCCTCATACTTTGAATTAAATTGTAAAGGTGACGGAATCCGTTAAACTTAACGGAAATGGTCAAAATGACCAAAATACCCTGATATAATTAAGCAAAAGACAGCTCAAAAAAATAATTTTTTTTTATTTTCTAAATAGAGAGAATTGAGGGTTAAGGGGTAGAATTGGTATATTTGATAAAAAATAGGTATAAAAATTTTTTTTTAGGTTCCAATAAGTCATTTCCGTTAAGTTTAACGGATTCCGTCACTTTTACAATTTAGTTCAAAGCATGAGATGTCGTATTATATATTTTGAAACTATAGGGGGTTTTTCTGTGTATTAGGCTTACCACAGGGGGCTTTTTTGTTTTTAACCCTTTTAAAAATTAACACTACCACTTACCACCGTCACCCACCATCGCCACCACGCCCTCCCTCCTCCTCTCTCTTCCTCTTCATCCCCCTTTCTCCTTCCCTCCTTCTCTTTCGTCCTCCCTCTTCCTCCTCCTCCTTTCCTCTTCCCCTTCCCTTTCCTTCCACAACCCCACCCCTCCCCTCATCCCCCCTTCTCGATCTAGTTGCGAACAGCTCGAGGAGAGGGAGGCAATAGGGGCGGGGATTGTGGCAAGAAAGGGGAGGGGAAGAGGAAGTAAGGAGGCAAGGAGAAGGAGGGGAGGAGAAAAGGAGGAAAAGAGAGAGGAGGAGGGAGGGGGTGGGTAGGCGGCGGTGATGGGCGGGAGTGATAGATGGAAGAAGAAAATAGTGTACAATTAATTTTTTTAATTTTTTTGTATTATTAGAGTTGTTTTTGATATACTGTATAAATGTAGTGTTTTTAGAGTTGTTTTTGTTTATATATTATTATAGCATTATATATGAAAAACAAAAAATGGGAATCCAAACAGAGCCTTTGTGAGGACTCGAAAAACTATTATTTTTAAATCCCTATTTTTGGCTAAATTAATTATTTATTTGGATTTTTGCCACGAATAATATTTTCTAGCCTTATTAGACCTAAGTACATGGTATTATAGCTCCGTTATATTTTTAAAGTGTCTCGTTTCAAAAATTATTTTCTTAGAAGCTTGTTTAGTGAAAAGTGAAAACGCGTTTGGAAAATTTTAACCGATGGAGAGTACAATAAGTTTGAAAAATTGGAGACTTGTACAATGGTCCTAAAATTAGGTATTTTAATGTTTAAATACTCAAGCGATAGTTATTAGTATTATCGTTATAAGAATTTCTCGGAAGTTTCGCGTTATCGCGCTCAAATTGGAGATACGCGTTTTCACACACGCGATTTTAATTGAGGGACTTTAGACCCTTATTTTGGGACAATTAAGAGTGAATAATATTTGTATGAATATAAGTGTACTAGAGGTTTAGTGCACTAGTGAAACAAACGCGAGAGGAATCGAGCACGAAACGTGCGCGAGTGCGCGCGTAGAAGAGTTGACTTTTGCACCATTTCTAGCCACACAAGTGAAGCTTCCTTAGGAAGCCAAATTTGAACACACTTTCCCTCTCTCATGCTCCATTTCAGCCGGCCATCAAGCTGCAAAAACAACCCAAGACGTCTCAATTTCTCCATCTCCAAATCTTGCACAAATCTTCATCCAATTCACACCAAACTTAAACCACACTTGGCTTAACACTTAAGGATCATTTTGAGCTGCAAAGGGGAGCTGAAAATCACGGTTTTGCTGGAGTAAAGGGGGCCGAAATTCTGCTTGAACATCAAACCAAAGTAAGTGATGATCCACTCTTGAAAACTTGAAGTTTGGAAGTTGTTTTACACTTATGAGCT